GATCAGGGAGCCCGATACGGGGCTCGATCCCAGGACCCTGGGATCATGACCAGAGCCAAAGGCAGAAGCTTAACCTACGGAGCCACCCAGGTGCCCCTAGGGCAGTGCTTTTCAGCAGTGACCCACAGTTATAAATCCACCTGATGGTGAACTACAGCTCACATATATGGATTTGCATGCAGACAAAGAGAAACAAAACAAAACTTTCCCAAATTTACTTACCACATGCAGTGTACCCTGATATTTTATATTCTCTCGTTTTCCCTCCTCCCTGCCTTTTTTTCCTTCTTCTGCCTTTCCTTTTCTTTCTTTCTTCTTATGCTGCTTATGACCCACCAAATCAACTTCATTTACTAATGGGTCACAATCCATAGCTCCAAACATACCATGTTGGGGTAAAGATTTTCATCTCCATCCCTTCCTTTCTCCAAGTTTCTGATGTGTGTGTGTGTCTTGTCCTCCCTGCCTCCCTCCCTTCATACTCTGCTTTCTGCCAGATAGCAGAACAAAAGAACTGTAAAGATCTTAAAACCCCACCTTCGGCTCAGTTGTCCAGTACTCCTCCCCTGCCCCCAGCCTTCAGGGCAAACAGATCTCTAAGAAGTGCCTTTTATGAGTGACTTACCCTGATGCATTGCAGGGAAGTCCTCCTCTTGTTTACTGGCTGAGAGTAATCTTTACAACTAGTTTAATAGAAGGCCCCCTTGTATTACCTCTGCTCTGGCTTGGAAATAGCATTGCTTAATAATAATTATATTCTAACAGTGAATATTTATTAAGCACTTACTATGATTCAGACAGGGCTCAGTGCTTTCTGTACATTATCTCATTAAGTCTTCATAACTACCCTGTGATACCTACCATTATTTATCTGTGAGTTTCTAGAAGCCGAAGCATGAAAAATCATTTGATTTGGCCAAGGTCACAGAAGACAGCCTGAGCTGAGATCTTATCCACGCTTTTATACCTCTCTACAGACATGTTATTCATAAAGCTAGTGGCCTTTCCGAACAGCTCCTTTTTCTGAAGCATAGATTTGAGAATGGCAGAACACCTTGCCCTGCTTTAACCATCCATGCGTCTGGTTGACACACATTCATTGAGCAGTTCTGTGTCCCAGGCACTGTGCAAGGTACTGGGTGGGGGTAGACTCAGGAATGACCTGCTCCCATCATGGGAACAGTCATACAGTGTGATGAGGATGTGACGAGGCTGCAGGCAGCTGGGTGAGGAGATGCCAGGAGAGGGAGGGTCAGGTGGCAGGCCATTCATGGTAGGCTTCTCCCACGCCAGCGGGGCCCTGGTCCTCTGTCCTTGAGAAGCATGGGGTGCGTAGGAGGAGGGCCAGGTGCCTCTGAATCGTCATCAGCTTATACAAACAAACCCTGAGGAAAGTATTGGCCAGCTCCATGGGATCATTAAAACACTTCTAAGAATTCCTCTATCTTCAGGTTCTTACAGAATAAAGTAGCTTTTCTTTAGCGTGGTTGTTATCAACAGGGAGGCAGGAGAAAAATTAACCTCTATGTGAGTCAGATTATTCCATTATCTAAAAGAGAGGGTCCAGGAAGTAATTCATTAATTTAAAATATGAAATGAAATATAACATGTGGGTGGTTGAGAAAGATCAAAGTCTTATATGTTTATGTGACCTCATGCTCTGTTTTCACCTAGACGTACATATTACTCACCTGCCATTAAAAATCTAGCTTCTTGAGCTTGTCTTTTCTCCCTACCCTTTTTAGGCTACAAGAGAAAACACGTCATACTGTTTTGTGCTGGCATTAGTTATCTGAAGACTTACAGGTGACATTGAACCTGCCTGGATGAGGCAAACTGAGAGCAGACACAGTCTTCCAGGCATTGGGCACTGAGAGAGGACCCACGGCACCTGGGAGCTTGTTAGAAAGGCAGGCTCAGGGGCACCAGGCTGGCTCAGTCAGAAGAGCCTGCAACTCTTGATCTCAGGGTCATGAGTTTGAGCCCCACATTGGTTGTTGAGATTACTAAAAGAAAAAAAAATAAACTTAAAAAAAAGAAAAGAAAAGAAATGCAGGTGCAGGGACCAGAATCTGCATTCTAACAAGATCCCAGGTGATTCATATGTATATTAGAGTTTCAGAAGTACTGTCCTTGGCCACCTTACACCAACCATATTTTCCCCAGGTGTGGAAGCATCTAAAGGATGCACTTTGTTCTTACCAATTCTGCAGTTGCCCAGGGCACACACCTGTCAGTAAAAGCAAACAAATACTTTGTGCTTCAGCCCTGTGTGTTCATTCCCCTGACACCCACCAGTGCTCACCAGTTAGCTCTTCTGCTTAATTAAACCCTCAAAAATATATTCCAGTAAGTTCTTGGGTCAAGTTTAACATATGTCAAAACCAGCTTTATGAAGTTGGGACTGAAGTACAACGAATGGCACAGTATTTAAAGTGTACCATTTCATAAATTCTGACATCTGTGTATATCAGTGAGGCCATCACCACGATCAAGATAATAAACATGGGGCGCCTGAGTGGCTCAGTCGATAAGCGCCTGCCTTTGGCTCAGGTCATGATCCCAGGGTCCTGGGATCGAGCCCCACATCAGGCTCCCTGCTTGGCCTGAAGCCTGGTTCTCCCTCTCCCACTCCCCCTGCTTGTGTTCCCTCTCTCGCTGTCTCTCTGTCAAAGAGATAAATAAGTAAAATCTTAAAAAAAAAAAGATAATAAACATGAGTCACCAAGTACCATAAAGTTTCCATGTGCCCCTTTGTGTCCTTCCTCCACTACCAGGTAACCCCACTATTGATAAGTTTGTATTTTCTAGAATTTTATATGAATGGAATCCTACAGTATGGCCTCTTTTTTGTTTGTCTGGCTTCTTTTAGCATAATTATTTTTAGACTCCTCATGAGTACTGTGTGTATCAGTTCTATTGCTGAGTAGTATTCCATTATATGCATATAAGACAGTTTGTATACTTGCTGATAACATTTTGGGTTGTTTCCACCTTTGGCTAAAGTTGGGGCTACCATGAGCATTTGTGTATAAGTCATTGTATGATCATGTGCTTTCAATTTGCTTGGTAAGTAAATATCTAGGAATGGAATACCAGGATTATATGGTCTGTGTATATTTGGCTTTTTAAGAAACTACCAGCTGTGGGATGCCTGGGTGGCTCAGTCGGTTAAGCATCTGCCTTCGGCTCAGGTCATGATCCCAGGGTCCTGGGATCGAGTCCTGCATCGGGCTCCTTGCTCAGCAGGGAGCCTGCTTCTCCCTTCGCTGTTCTTCCTGCTTGTGTTCTCTCTCACTATGTGAAATAAATAAATAAAATCTTAAAAAAAAAAAAAAAGAAACTACCAGCTGTTTTCCAAAGTAGTTACACCATTTTATATCCCCACCAGCAGTGTGTGAGAGTGTCGATGGCCTTCACATCTCCAACACTGGGTATTGTCTTTTTGTTTGTACCCATTCTGGTAGGGATGATGAGGTATCTCTCAGTGGACTTTAATTTGCAGGTTACTAATAAGCATCTTATATATATATATAATTTATTTATTTTGACAGAGAGGGAGAGAGAGAGAGCACAAGCAGGGGGAGAAGCAGACTTCCCGCTGAGCAGGGAGCCCGATGTGGGACTCGATCCCAGGATCCTGGGATCATGACCTGAGCTGAAGGCAGACGCTTAACCGACTAAGCCACCCCGGTGCCCCTATCTATTTTTTTCTCATGGATTATGCTTGTGGTGTCATATCTAAGAAATATTTGCCTAAACCAAGGTCATAAGGGGTTTCTCTTATGTTTTATTCTAGAAGTGTTAGAATTTTAAGTTAGGTTTTATATTTATGTGCACAATCCATTTTGAGTTAATTTCTTTATATGGTACACATAGGATGGAAATTTTTGTTGTTTGGTTTTGCATATGTATATCCAGTTTTTCCAGCATCATTTGTGGAAAAGATGATCTTCTCTCCATTGAATTGCCTTTGAGCCTGTGTTGAAAATCACTTGTCCATATGTACATAAATAAGCCTCTTGAAATGCTCAGGGCCTGGCAACAGGGGAAACCACTGGTGAAAGCAACGAGAACTCTGGGTTCTCAGGTGGCTAAGGTTGATTGCTATCTGATGGTGGAGCTGGGACTCAAGCTTCGGGGTCTTTAAAGGGGATCTTGAGCTTACCGTGGGAGTCCAGCAGAGTGGACTTGCAGTGTGTGCCATCCTTGGGTGAGCTGAAGAGATAGTCCCTGAAATGAGTTTGGTAGAGTTCAATTCCCTCCCTGTCCTTTGTTGGGCAAGGCTGAGAGTGCATGGCAAGTACCCTTGTAGATGCAAAGGAGAGGCATGAATACATTACATCCAGTGGCTGCCTTCAGACACTGGGGCGTAATTGTCTCCTGCAGCTCTTTGAGAAACCTGGGGCCCCCCATACCTCATGCAGTCTACAGTTGCATGGGCTCTGGGATGTTCCGGGCCAGCCCTTTTCCAGTCTGAGATAAGAGGTCACTCCGGGCAGTGGTAGGGGTGCAGCAGACCCCTGTTCTTCTGTGCTCACCACGGTGCGCCTCAGGAGCTGCCTGGTCTCCTTGAGGCTGCAGACTGGCAGACACACTGCTGTCTTCCGGAGCTGCTGTGGGCAGGACTCCCAATCCCCATCTGAGATCAGCCGGAGGCCCAGGTCAGTGAGGTGCCGTGCCCGGGGCCGGGCCACCGCAGGGGCTCCTCCCGCTGTGTGGTCTCTCTCGCGTCCCCAGCCAGGTGGTTGTCCTGCAGGAAGGGGGAGCCTTCTCGAAGGTCGGGCCGAGCCTCGCTCGGGGAGGAGGAAGAGGGAGCTGTTGTGGCGCCGGCACGTAGGTTTGGGTCAGCTGTCCGTTCATGGTGGGGCAGAGTGACTCCGGGGAGAGGGAAGCGACTCCTCACACACTTCCGAGGTGGACCTTGGCACCACCGTGTGATTCAGGCCCATGTGTAGTGTAGTGAATCCGAGGAGCCTAACGCACTGTTTATTTTCCAGGCCCTCCTAGCAGGCATGCGGAACCGGGAGAACAGCTCGCCCTGCCAGGGCAACGGGGAGCAGGCCAGCAGGGGCAAGAGCCTGGGCTCGGCGTGGCCCGGCGAGGAGGAGCCCTGCAACGACGTGAGCACGCCGTCCTACAAGAAGCCTCTGTATGGCATCTCGCACAAGATCATGGAGAAGAAGAACCCTCCCGCCGGCGACGTGCTTAGCACGTACGAGCTCTTCGACAAGGCCAACTCCAGCAACAGCCCATCGCCGCTGCGGCTCCTGAACGAGCCACAGAAGCGGGACTGCGGCAGCGCCGCGGCGGCCACTGACGCTGACCCCAACATCTACTTTCTGATCCAGAAGATGTTCTACATGCTCAACACGCTCTCTTCCAACATGTCGCAGCTGCACAGCAAGGTGGACCTGCTCTCCCTGGAGGTGAGCCGCATCAAGAAGCAGGTGAGCCCCACCGAGATGGTGGCCAAGTTCCAGCCGCCCCCCGAGTACCAGCTCACGGCGGCGGAGCTCAAGCAGATCGTGGACCAGAGCCTGTCGGGCGGCGACCTGGCCTGCCGCCTGCTGGTGCAGCTCTTCCCCGAGCTCTTCAGCGACGTGGACTTCTCGCGCGGCTGCAGTGCGTGCGGCTTCGCGGCCAAGCGGAAGCTGGAGTCGCTGCACCTGCAGCTCATCCGCAACTACGTGGAGGTCTACTACCCCTCGGTGAAGGACACGGCCGTGTGGCAGGCCGAGTGTCTGCCCCAGCTGAACGACTTCTTCAGCCGCTTCTGGGCCCAGCGGGAGATGGAGGACAGCCAGCCCGGCGGCCAGGTGGCCGGCTTCTTCGAGGCCGAGCAGGTAGACGCCAGCCACTTCCTGGACAGCAAGGACCAGGAGGAGGCCCTGTCCCTGGACCGGAGCAGCACCATCGCCTCAGACCACGTGGTGGACACGCAGGACCTCACCGAGTTCCTGGACGAAGCGTCGTCCCCCGGCGAGTTCGCTGTCTTCCTCCTGCACCGGCTCTTCCCCGAGCTCTTCGATCACCGGAAGCTGGGCGAGCAGTACAGCTGCTACGGGGACGGCGGGAAGCAGGGGCTGGACCCTCAGCGGCTGCAGATCATCCGCAACTACACGGAGATCTACTTCCCCGACATGCAGGAGGAGGAGGCCTGGCTGCAGCAGTGCGCCCAGCGCCTCAACGACGAGCTCGAGGGCCTGGCGCTGGACGGCGGCAGTGAGGGCGAGCCCGCGCGCGACGACTGCTACGACTCCTCCAGCCTGCCCGACGACGTCTCCGTGGTCAAGGTGGAAGACAGCTTCGAGGGCGAGCGGCCGGGCCGGCGCTCCAAGAAGATCTGGCTGGTGCCCATCGACTTCGACAAGCTGGAGATCCCGCAGCCTGACTTCGAGGTGCCGGGCGCCGACTGCCTGCTGAGCAAGGAGCAGCTGCGCAGCATCTACGAGAGCAGCCTGTCCATTGGCAACTTCGCCTCGCGCCTGCTGGTGCACCTCTTCCCCGAGCTCTTCACGCCCGAGAACCTGCGCAAGCAGTACAACTGCAGCGGCTCCCTGGGCAAGAAGCAGCTGGACCCGTCCCGCATCAGGCTCATCCGCCACTACGTGCAGCTGCTCTACCCGCGCGCCAAGAACGACCGCGTCTGGACGCTGGAGTTCGTGGGCAAGCTGGACGAGCGCTGCCGGCGCCGGGACACGGAGCAGCGGCGCTCCTACCAGCAGCAGCGCAAGGTCCACGTGCCGGGCCCCGAGTGCCGGGACCTGACGAGCTATGCAGTCAACCCCGAGAGGTTCCGAGAGGAATTCGAGGGGCCCCCGCTGCCCCCCGAAAGAAGCAGCAAGGACTTCTGCAAGATACCCCTGGACGAGCTGGTGGTTCCCTCGCCCGACTTCCCGGTGCCTTCGCCGTACCTGCTGTCGGACAAGGAGGTGCGCGAGATCGTGCAGCAGAGCCTCTCAGTGGGCAACTTCGCCGCCCGGCTCCTGGTCAGGCTCTTCCCGGAACTCTTCACCGCCGAGAACCTCCGGCTGCAGTACAACCACTCGGGCGCCTGCAACAAGAAGCAGCTGGACCCCACGCGGCTGAGGCTCATCCGGCATTACGTGGAGGCCGTGTACCCGGTGGAGAAGATGGAGGAGGTATGGCACTACGAGTGTATCCCGAGCATCGACGAGCGGTGCCGCCGCCCCAACAGGAAAAAATGCGACATCCTGAAGAAAGCCAAGAAGGTGGAGAAGTGATGGGCGCGCCGGGGACTGAGCGTTCTGGCGGAGCGCGCCAGCGGGATCCACGGACACGCACCTTATGTCGGTGGGGAGTGGCTCACTGCATTTGCACACGTCGACACCACCCAGCCACAGGAAAGAAGCCTTGCGTTTGGTCTCCCACTCACGACTTTCAGTCCCGTGTCCCAGGGGTGCAGCCAGAGTCCGGGAGAGCGGAGCCGTGAGAGCAGAGAGGCCTCAGGAGTAGGGCATTCTGTCCTTGGCTGTGTCCTCTCCCCGTGCCCCCCCCCCGCAATTTCAGATGCATATTCAGCAGCTCTCTTGTTCCTCTTCCCACATTTTACATCTTCCATTTTTATCCATTTGTTTTTAATTAAAAAGAAACCCTTTTTTTAAAAAGAAAATCATTGGGCTCTTTGGGGGCCATTTTACTTAGAAAAACTATTTTAAATATTTGAGATGAAGTACTGTAAGATGACTTCAGTTGCTGGGATTTTTTCTTTTTTAAGATGGTTTCACATTTATGAAATTTTTAGAAATGCCATGTTCTTGCATGATGGCTAATAATAGCTTCAGGTGACATAGAGACCAGTTTTACTTACCTTGTCTTTTACATCTGACTTTGGAAGAGTCAAGATGCCCCTTGGATGGCAGCAGAGGGGATGGAGTAGTGGGACCTCCTTTCCCACCATGGTTGCATCCTCCCTTCCGCTGTGGTGCTGAGGAAGGGGCCTACCCACGACCTGGCCTATTCGTAGTTGCCATGTCGGTAGAATGCTGTGCTCACTCTCTGTAGACGAGAACACTGGATGATGATGATGATGATGATGATGATGATATGAATGTAGATAGACGTGGAAACACGTACACAATGTCATTTTGAGCTGTGTCCTTCCACTGCCCCCGTCCCTCTCTACACAAGGATACTGTTGGGAGGGGCAGACACATTTCCTTGGAAACTAGTGTGTGTGAATATTTGGCTTCTTGTTTGATTTAAGGATGGGCCCCTCTGAGCTCACCAAAGCTGTTTACTTTCCATGTGTGTATTTGTGCAAAAACCCCGGTTCTGGGAGCTGTCTGATGGCTTCACCACACCTCAGTGTGAGCCCCTCCCGTCAGTAGCACATCCTTGTTCCTCAGGGCAAGCCCAGGCCTCGGGCCCTCTTGGGGATACCTGGCATTGGAAGGTCACAGGTCATTCATTGGGGCTCCCCCGTCCCTTCCCAGAGTCCACTCAGCTGTCCCCTCAGACCCCCTTGAAGCTTTGCTGCCCTACACCTGGCCAGTCCTTGGCCTCGGAGTAAGACATCTCTTCTTCCCTCACTGGTTGGGAAGGTCAAACTGCTCCAGGCCAGTGGCATACTCTCCAGGACATCCAGTCAGGAAATTCCCCAGCAGGTAAAGTCCTGAAAAACAATACTTTTACCTACCTGACTTTGGGGTCGAAAGCCCTAAGAGGGAAAGGAAATGGTATAACCCAAACGGAGTATATCATATCAGAAACTTGGAAAATGAACTGAATCACACAGGGTGGTCCTAAAGCCCTTGTGGAATGTTGCAGAGTTAATAACCTGGTGGCTTAATGTTTGCTACCTTAAAATGCAGAAATAATAGAAACAATCTGTGAATTTTCTTTATACAACTGATAAAAAGACTGCAGTTCCGGTGGCTATATGACAATTTTGCCTGCACCCCAGAGGGCTTTTTATTTTTTTCTTTTTAATGACAGGATTTTGAGCAATGTAAAGTTGCCAATCTAACTTTAGTAAATTTGCTTTTACATGTCATTTACAGATTATTTCTGTTGAAGCTGCAGACCTAAATTATTGAAATTTAGAATTGCACAGGGACTTAATCACTCTCTCACATACACCCACAGCCACCCACGTGTGCACACACATTTCTTACTGAAAAACTTCAGTGGGATGAAGGGGACCTACATGAATAATGAGCTCAACCTCTTTGTGCCTAGGAAAGAAGGGACTAGAGCAGCCAGGAAACTCACTTTCTCCCCCTCACGTGGGCCTTTCTCTACGCCTTAGTCTCTCCAGCACACATGCGCATGCGCACGTCCTACCCAAAGATGGCAGGGGCACTATCGCCCGCCAGCCCTGTGGGTTGGAGAGCGCCATGGAATTTGTTCTGGGCTCTAGCATGTGTCCAAGAGGATTCCAAGCCATGTGAAAGTTGCCCTGCTTTCTAGAGGGTGGACTACGACCCTACAACTTCAGAAGCACAATCATTTATTAATAATAATAAGTCCTGTCTCCCCCACGTTAGAGAAATCAACAAGTTCTAGGGATGAAATGTGTTTCTTCACAACCTAGAGCGTGTTCAGTTCTTGGAAACTGCATTTTGGTGGTTTCCTTAATACCTTTCCTGTGTAGGGCCTCGCCCCCCCCCCCCCCGCCTGGCCCCAAATCTTAAGAGTCCCTTTTAGTGACGAGAGGTGGACACACTCTGGGAGTTGGTGACTGTCCCTCCGGACCGTCTCATCAGGAAAACCCTGCAGGTCCTGCGTCTGTCTGTATGGCGTCCTCAGCTCTCCAGCCATACAGGTGGGCTCCAGGGCAGTTTTTTACATGAAGCAATAGAAGTACAAAATACTTTTTTCAAAACTTAATATTTTCCATCAAATGTGTTGGTAAACCCCTTCCCCCTCCCCATCCAGATTCTTTGGTTTTTACTTGTTTTGGGGTTCTTTTTTTTTTTTTTCCTTGTATCTGGAGGACTAAAGAATTAGCACAGACACATTCTGATGTTAAGGAAAATAGCAAGTCACAATAGGTGGTAGTGCCCCTCGTTTTCTCTTGTTAGTAAGTTTTAAAAGAATGTATGAAGGTAGTCATGAATGTACTAAGTGTTCTAAACCTGCTTCAGTTCACTTTGGCTGTGTCTACATGACAACAAATGTTTGACAGGGAATAAAGTTGTGTCTAGTGTCATGGGCGATAGTGTGCCCCTCCCCTTCGGTGTTGGCCCCAAATCTTCCTTTCTTTTTAAGTTTGGGTGGAGGGGTTACCACATCAGCAGCAATCATCAACCAACCAATGGGATCTACTTAGTGGTGAAAGGATTCGCTGTTTAAATGGTAAGAGTCACTGGCCTGACCACACCGCAGCATGGCCACTTGTTCCTATAGAGATGGCCTCGGTTTCTACCTTCCCCCCCAAATGTTTGCTTCTTGTCCGATTGCAGTGGGGTCTTAAGACCCCTAATTGGAGGTCATTGAGATCTCTCATCCTGCCTGGCTGTGTGGATAGGAGTATGAAGTAGAGGTGGGGGCCAACGGGCTGTTAATGCCATTTAGAAATACTTGCCTCGTGTAGATCCAGCCTTAATGTTTTTCTGACATCCTAGTGAAAGCAGACCCTGCACAAAGTGGATATCAGAGTTAATACTGTGAGGAGACAAAATAACGAGAATAGTTTTACCAAAGATAATGAAATATTGCATAATGTCTGCATTTTACCATTGATTTGAGTGCATTCTTAGAAAACTGAATGTAACAAAAACCCAGGACATTTTTGGAAATTGTATGCTCTCTAGCAAACTTTGTGTGAATTTTTATACAAGCACTGTTTTATGAGTTATATAAAATGTTATAAAAATAGAAAAAAATATGGTCTTTGTAACCTCTTGTTTTCTTAGGGCCCAGGTCTCTCAGAACCTGTGTTGGTCTACTTGTCTCCATGTGGCCTCCTCAGCCCCTCCCACGGTAGGACAGGAACCAGCCGGGGCGGGGGGGGGGGGGGGGGGGGGGGAGGTGTCTCCTGTCTCAGCCTCTCGGGCTTCCACGCCCGGGGTGTCCGGGGCACAGCTCACAGGATTTCACTTGGCTACAGATGAATGACTGAGAAGTCACCAAATAAACCCTAGCCCTCTTCCACACAAACCACTTCCTGGCCGCACGGCGGGAGGTGCATTTGCCTTTTCATACCTTTCCTGGTCAGGCGCCAGCTCCGCCCTGCTACCAAGCCAAAAGAGCCTCATTTCACTTTTTTTTTTTTTTTTCCCCCCTCACTTTGGATCAAATGGGATTTAGTTCTTCCAGGCTAACATATTATTAAGTGATGATAAAAGGATACGGTTTTTTTCTTATCTTTTCGGCTAAGCATAAATTCTTTCATATTCATAGTAAAAATATTATCTCAAGCTGTCGGAGGAACATTGTTTTTGGCCAAGGGTCACAAAGATAAAAACTTGTGGCTTGGGATTCAAACACTTTCCCCAGTGACCCTTTGCTTTGTTGTGATTCCTGACACTTCTGTGTGTAAGCCTTGTCAGCAGGTTAGGGCTGGTCAGGGGCTGGAGTAACAAGTTTAAGCAAGACTTGAAGGAAGACGAAATTCTTTAATTCTGGCTGTAGGTATGTTTGTTTCCTACCCCAAAAGAAAAGTCACAGAATTTCAATATATGGGAGCTTACTTACAAAATCCAGTTCTCAGAGGTAAGAACTACACACTAAATTATCATGATCACGGGAATGGTGAAGTGCAATGGACTCTGAGGGAACTTCTAAATAAATGTACCCCCCCCACCCACGGCCACTAGTGAGGAAGGAATGAACACTCATTGCCTACTCGCTGTAATGGCACCTCACATCCACTGAGAACACAGCATGTGCTGGCCACGCTGCTGAGAACTCGACCAGTGAGGTAAGTTCCGTAATTAACGCCTATTAAGAAAGGTATGGTATGGCCCTGAGTGGTGTATATACTATCTCATTTAATTCTCATAAAAACTCAAGTGTCTTGAGTTTTTATTATTGTGTAGTGGTGAGGAAGCAGAGGGAAGTATGTTTCTTGCCCAAGTTTGTACAACTGGCAAATCGCGGTGTCAGGGTTTAAACCTGTTTATTTCTGCAACACCACACCATCCCGGGTGGTGAACATCCTCTGAGCCACAACACACAAAGATAGAGATCCGAAAACGAGTGCAAGTCACTGGTGTCCTTTATCACCCACATCCTCTAAGCCCCAATTCGTCTGATCTTAGATATGGATGTGCTGGTATTTAGAATTGCTGTGTGTGAAATCACTGGCGATTGTGGATAGCCATGTCCTGGGAATAGTGAGCAAATTTGGGAAGAGTTTGTGAAAGTAACTGCCATGGATGGGATTCCCTAGGGGCGGAGCCTGAGACATTCCCGAGAGAATGGTTGTGGGCTTGTCCTCGGGAGAAGGGGTAGGAGGGACACAGCAGCGGCCAGGAAAGGCCAGGATCTAGGGCGCGGG